AAATAGAGCAGGTCTAGACAGAACTCCTTATAACATTAATCATCTTCAATTATCATTAGAAAACTCAAAAGCCAGTTGACGGCACACAGCTGATCAAAAAGACTAAAGGGTCTAGTACATCCTGGTGTTTTTTTAAGTAATTCACTTAGCCAAACTATATCTGAATAAATGCCAAAGTTGCTTCAAGGGAACGCTGTGTCATAGATAGCGTCTCTCACTAGGGGGAGCCACTTCTGACTGTGTTCTTGTAAAGTCTTTATATGTGCAGCTTTTTATAAACAGTCTACGAACACACAGCGCGAACATGGTAGTGTTTTGTTCGCTGCTTCTGTGTGTGTGCATGTATGTGTGTATGTGAGGACAGAAATTGCAGCTGGCGATAAACTGACAGAAGACAGCTTGACACAGATAACAGATGCAAACACACCACGTTAAAATCAAATGCCCTGCAAACATTTTTTCGCAGAAGCTCACATGGACCCACTTTCTCTTTTGCATATCAATAGCCCTAGATAGTAGATACACACACACAGACATAATTGGTTACGTAGGGAACGGAGCCAACTTGCACCTCTCGTTGCCGTGGTAACCAGAGAGACTGATTTTTCTAGAAGCACTTACTCACATCCCGTCTGTTATTCACTTGTTTGTTCATTCATTCCTCCTTTTAGCCTTTCTTTATGCAACACTCTCTCCCCCTCTCCCTCTCCCTCTCCCTCTCTCTCTCTCTGGGTGCTTTTCAACCCATTTCCATTCCCACCTCTTCTCCAATAAGATGCCCTCTTAGCATGCATATGCAAATGAGGCAGACTTGAAACCAATTAAAAAGAATTGAATAACGAACAGCATTGTGTCCTCCGCGGTTGGACAGAGATAGCACCTCAGACCTACTGACACAACATCTAAGCACTTGTCTGTATAATTTACCTCTCGCAGTCAGGAAAGCGAGCAAAGGAGGTGAAAATCAGACTGATTTGATTATTTTATCTGTTTATGTTGACTCTTTTTTTTAAACTTACAACACAAATGCAGCATTTCTTTACTCCCCCATCTCTTTCCATCTCTTTCCACTCGTTTCCTATCTCATCCGTTGCCTCTTTTCCTAGACTTCCCCCCTCTACGCCTCCACAGCTCTCTCCAGGGTGTATCAGGTTATCATTGGCCAACAAAGCAGGAAACAGGAAGTATATATTGCTCCATAGACAGAACTCTGGAGATACTAGATGGACAAACACACACACACACACACACACACACACACACACATACACACAAACACTGTACACACACACACCTCTACATCAAATATCCCCGCTGTTTTGGAGCATGCATGTTGTCTTTCTGCAGGAAAGTATTACAAATCATATCAGATTCACAAGCAACCGGTGTGGAAAAGAAAAACATAGACATATATAATATATATATAAACATATGTGTTTATAAAAATATGTGTATATAAATATAATGAATAATTCAAGACCAGCTTGCTTTTGATAATTTAGACAGAAAGTGTGAAAAAGGATTATGCTTCTCAACAGCAGTGAAGTGCCTCGTACACATTAGAGATTGGCCCACTACCACACAACTGTAGTGTTTTCATGCAGAAATGTAGAGGAGACTTAACCACGATAGATTAATTCAATGTTCTATCAAACAGGAGATCTGCTCATTTACACACAAGGCAAAATGTGTTGGAAATTAGATTACTTAGAGCGTAGAAGGAAATACAGCAAGACTGAGTATACAAATACATCATATAGACACAAATAGATAGAGTGGAATCTTGGAGTAAAACTGTGAAAGTGTAGAGAGGGAAGAGAAAGAGATTTAGAAATTTGGATAGAGGAAAACAACAGGAAGAAAAAGCTGCTGAGAATGAGAGAAGAAACGAAAGGGGCAGCTCTATACCCTTGTGTCAGCTCTCTGTCAAAGAGAGATGGTGAAGGAAAAAAAAAGACAAAGAGACAGCAAGCTCTAATAGTCCTGTGTCAATGGATGGACGCTGGGAAGGTCAACAGCCATACACAGGTTTACACAGGTTACTTACTACACACTTAACGCACATGTATGCATAAAACACACAGACACACTTAACATAAAGCATAAAGAGTAGAGACAGCACAGCACACATATGGCACTAATGAACGTGGTGAAACGGAGTGAGTGGTGATGATAGATCCAGAGAGACACAGACACAGACAGACTGGCACACACGCTGTCTCTGGAGTGTAATTAATATGTAAGTTAAAGTACGTCTGCAATGACTGTAGTTATTTCTCCATGTCCCACTCCCTGTATACCCACGACGGTGGCGCTGAGAGCTCAATGCACTGCAGCTAAATAAAAACATATGCAAGTAAACATCTTCATCAATCTGACAACATGTATGAAGCATCACAAAAGGTCTGTGAATAGAGAAAACACAACCAAAAACAGGAAAATGTTACTAACAACTGTTGTTGTTGCCATAGTTGTGGCTCATACTCACTCCATGACTTGGCGTCATACAGGTATAACGTGAGGGTTAGATATGTGGCGGTTGAATCACTGTTGATGAGAAGAAACAGCAGGATGGAGACGGATCACTTACTCAAGCAACATTGTAATATATATACAGTATAAATATATTTAGTAAATTAACTCAAATATATAAATTAACTTCTAAACTAAATGTTTAAATGTTTAAAGCCTTTTTCCCACTTTGGAGGAAAGCGGTTGTGTGCTGCTTTATCTTATAAAGCCTAAAAATACTGCTTGAAAAGACTTTGTATAAAGCATAAATATGACCTTTTACTCCTCCGTCTAAGTATGTATTGTAGAGCAGATTGTGAGCTGTTAATGGGCTCATTACTGCCTCCTGAGGCTGGACAGGTGACAGTTGGTGAGACCCGCTGCTGTGGTGGGCTTTTTTTTGCCCCAATGGCCACAAGGGGCAACAACACACCAATTCCACACTCAAAAGTCAAACCTGTGGGGATACAAAGGTGAGATTTATATTTATATATAAAGACAAGGGTAGAGACTAACCGGTACACCTGGTTAACCATCCCACCTTCATTAAAGAGCAGTGCTATGTTGCTCACTTACTTTATGCACCATTGCACTATTGTCTGCTGTCTACAAATGTTTGTTTATATATATATGTATAACTGTACATAAGTCTATGTCTTTTTTGTTGAGCTTGTTTATTTATGCTGTTAGTCTGTGTTTG